ACAAACCAGTGCCAAACAGTATAAATTCAAAATAAGTTCTTAGGCTATATAAATTACAGAACCAAGTAGAAAGATGAAAGCCTATTTGGAAAATCTGAGTAGAAAGGTAACCTGAACCTTTGATAGTGCTATTATAAAGACTAAATCTATGAAATAGAGCTAGAACTTGTAAAATTAGACAAATGTGCTGGTCTTTGAGGAGAGACCAGATGAATCAACTAGGCTGCTAAAATTTTTAGATTTTGAAGAAAAAAGGTACATGCTGGCAAATATGTAAACCAAAAGTATGATTATGGCTTATCTTTTTAGACTATCTGAAATAGCAGCTTGGTAAAGCTTGAATTGAATATCAAAGTAGTAGAGATATATTGTTAAGTCAGTACCAAGATTGAAATAACTCTACAAGGACATAATGGTTTAATAGTATGCCCTGACTACCAGTATTAGTCTTGGCTATAGTAATATCAGGTTAACTATAAGAATGAAATACAGAAGATTCTAGAAGATTTAATACAAAATCAAAGGTTCCAAAGAACTGCTTTAAAGACTTAATAGTTATGACATATTTTCATTAGCATCAGCTAGAATCATTAATAGATAAAGATAGATTGGTGAATACAGAAATTAGAGTAGTTAAATAGAAAACCTATAAGCAGATTTCAGGTATGATAGCTAGTATAGAACCTTTAGACAGACTACTTAAATTAAACAATAACTAAAGTTATATGAATAACTAATTGTACACTTTTTTTATAGTTGCCCTTTTTAGTTGTAATATAACTATTAGCCAAATATACTATTGATAAAACCTTGAATTGCAAGTACTCATCTTAATATTTAAAAAAAAAAAAAAAAAACTACACTTTTGTATTAATTCTAACAAAACTTTTAATCTATATATCAACTTTCTTGATATTGTATACTTTGTAGTTATTTAATATTTTTTATATATTTTATCACCTTCTTTCTTAACAATTAACTCATAAAAATTACTTTGTATTTTTTAGTTAGGCCAACTTATTAACAGCTTATAGTTTATTGCTAACTTTAATTATAATCTAATTACTATTTTATTTTATACTAATAGTTTTGTTATTGAGCTTAATATCTCTTAATGCTTTATAGACATAGATTGGATTTAAGTTGATAACTTTGCAACTACTTATTCATTTTAAACATAAGTTAAACTTTGGTTATGCTTTTTTAAAACTGGAATTCTTGCTATTCTCTTAGCAATTATTACTGTTTCTAAAAACTGTTCTGTTTATACTTTATTAACACACAATCTGTAATCTCTAAATATTATAATATTTGCTTATTAGCATCTAAACTCTCTTATATCTATACTACATACTTTTTTATTTGGCAAACTTTTATTAACTTCATTAACTTATACAATATTTAGCTTATTTTCTACAAAATTACTATATATCAAGATAATCTATTTAATAATCTTATTGACTAACTTGCTTGTAATTATTAAATACTACTCTTTTTAGCATTCTTAATTAACAACTCTTATAACTCAGTTTATACTTTATTTATTAACTAATTTCTTATTAAAATTTTTATTTAATGCTTTATTTATACTATCTGTCAAACTTATATTATAACACTTTGAATATTTCAATATTATTTTTAATAATAATCTATTATTGCATCTAATATTAATTAAAAAATCACTTAACTTTATATTAATAATAATCAAAAAGTTTCTAACTTTATTTACAACTTTTACTTCTTTATTTTAAAAACCTTTTATATTAAAATTCTTTTGAATAAATTATTTGTTTTTTATATTCTTTATAAACATAATTCTTTTTATTCTTCTCTCTGTTACCAATATAATCAAACTAGTTCTTTATTATATTAAACTCTTTGTTCTTCTATTCAAACAGTTTACTACTTAATTTTTAATTTTTTTAATTGTATTTTAAATATAACTGTTTTTGACATATTTACTAATCTTGTTTCTAATTTATATCAAGAAATTCTTATACTTAACAGTTTTAAATTACACAACTTTTCATATATGTCATCTCTTATTTTTACTTTATCTGACTTAGTTTCTATTAACCTTATTTCTTTTATTCATAATATTTCTATTCTTTATTATATAAATACTTTTTTTTTATTAAATTTTTTCTTCATTTAAATTAACAAATATATAAACAAATATAAATTCTATATTGTATTTCATGTTCTGCATAATTTTAAATTATATTTTCTACAAATTTAAGTTATAGTTTTCCTTTTAGTCTATTTCTATTCCCTATTTTTAATATTATAAATTATTATCAAAATTGATTTTTGAACTATCTAATAAATTAAATTTTATATTTCTTTCTTCTATATTATTACTAATATTCAAATCTAAGTAAGTCTTGACTACTCTTGTAGGTTTAGGTTGCAGATTATATGTCTAAGTTTTTATTTTTCATATGTAATTTAAAAGCAAGTTTTTTTTATAAAAACTTCAATTGAATTTTAATAAAATTAAAAACATAACCTTATTGTTAATATTTAAAAAAAAATAATTAATATTATAAAAAATATATAATTATATATTTTTAAATTAATATATTAATTTTTCAAACTTGTATATGTTGTAGATATTTTTGAACATATAGATGTTTGGACATTGGACATGGTCAAAAAAATCTTAATCATAGTAGATATAACAATATTGCTATAAGTACTGAAAATATAATAAAATTAGTACTAAAATTTATATAAACTTTACAAAAATTATTTTTGTTAATAAGAATTATAAAATAGATAAATTAATTAATAAAAAAGCATCTAGAGTTTTACAGTTAGATGATATATTTTAGAATAAATAACAGCTTAACAATTATAATTAAAAAAAAGATTTTATATTAAGTTAAATAACACTTAAGTATATAGAACTTTGAAGTTATTTATTTAATATAGTATAGAATCAAAAGATTTAAATAAGTAATTTTTTAGCAAGTTACAAGTATAATAGCTAGTATAGAACTTTTAGGTAAATTACTTAAATAGGTAATTAAAAGTTGCACATGTAATTGGTTATACACTTATTCTTATACAAGTTATATATATAGTATATATATATATAATTAAAAATGTAAATAAAGACCATAGTTATTATTAATATTAGCCTTAATAAAAGCAAAAAAAAATTTTAATATTAAATATATAACTTAAAAAATAAATAAAAGAAAAATAAAATTATGAATAAATTTTTATTTTTTTATTATTTATTTCTTAATCTGTATCCATTTTGTAATATAAATTTGAATTAATATCAACATTATTATAAACAGTATTAAGATAGATTAGATTACTAAATTATAATATTTAATGTCTTAACATCTTTGCTTATTCTTTTTAACTAAAATGTTTTTAAAAAAAATAACAATTTGTATAGTAAAAGCATTATTATAACCATTAATCGAATATTAAATCTAAATAATAATATTATAATTTAAAATTATTATATATTATAAGCATATAAATTAAATAATTTAAAAAAATTTATTATATTATTAAATACATCTATATAATTATCCCAACCACTAATATTAAAAATTGTTCAACTTTATTTTTAGATGTTGCAAGATATTCTATAGGTAATATACTATGAATTATTTGATTTGCATATAGTTTTTTCATAAACAATATTACTTTTTATAAATTCTAATTTTCATTTATATCACTTTAAAAAAAACAAACTATAAGCTAAAATATATTTTGCATCATTTGATTTATAAATTTAATTATATTACAATATTCGAATCTGAATCTTCATTAAACCATCTTTCATTATATTCATCAATATCCAAATCAGAAAATTCTTCAGTAATATCAGTTTTTAAATTATAATTTTTTTCAACAGTCAAACCTGATTACATTAGACAAGGTTTTATTTTTTTAAAAAAAAATCAAATAATTGTCATCAATATATATATACAGACTATATTTTATGCATCATTGATTGATCATGTATATGGTATCACAAAAATAAAATTATATTTCGGGGTCGTCAAGAGAAAATCATGGTTCGGATTCTTAAACTTACATTTTATTATACAAAAAATTCCAAATTAAATAAACTTAGTCCGATAAATTGTAAACTTAAAAGCCTGCCAAAATCCAATTTTTTATTTATTTGCGGACTCAATAATTTATTATATACGTGCATGTTTTGTTAATCGTACATTACATCATTTTGATAATTAATTAATATTTCTATATATACACACTTTAGAAACTATATAATACATATTTACTATATTCTCGCTTAAAATGCTTTGCACAATGTCACTTTTACATACGTACGAACCAGTACATATTATGCTACTATATATGTCTGGACAGCTACCTCAGTATGACCATGAAAGATCGTCGCAGGTGCACCAATCAGATCTCTTCAGACAATCGAAAAGATTTTCCGCAAAATTTTGATATAAGCCCTACTTCTCTCATAACTCTAACCCTATAGTAAGGTTTTCTGATACTGGGGTACGGTACAATGATAGCACAATAAATGCATTGTGTAGTCAGATTGACAAATATGGTAACAAACAATATAAATTTGTCCCTAAAAAAGGGAATAAGGTTTTTAATGACGTTTGAATCTTGTGTTACTTAATGAAACGTGCTGCCAATAAATTATAGAAGTAGAACAATATTAGTATTAGACACAATAAAGACATCATATTTTTCTACAATCCTTGATATTGTTCTTTTTAAAAGAATTTTCTTATGTAAATTGATGGTTTAATATAACACAAGTATATTGCATTTAAGTCTCAATAACATTAATCGATTATGGTCTTTGTACAAAAACTACGATTGTTTCAATCAAAAAAATCCAACACTTGGAAAAAATATCACCAACTATTTCCTCCTTAAACAAACAGTTCACTCTTTTCGCACTTTATTAACACCAAGAGAATTAATTAAAATATCCTAATCTACGCGCTAACAAACTATTCATTATCGTTAATTATAAAATGAAACCAGCCACCATATTTTGTTCGTTATTCGTTTTGGTTACTCTCTTGGATTGTTTCGTTCTTTCGGTCCATCTTACTTCGAATTTACATGCTAGGAATGTAAATGAAACAAATTCACCGTCTTCATATTATTATAAACAATTTATTGATCACCATAATAAGTTATATGGAACTTTTTCTCAAAAATTCTTCGTTAATTCTACTTATTATAAGCCCGGTGGTCCTATTTTTCTCCATACACCTGGTGAAGATTCAATTGATCCTATGGTAGTTAAAGCTTCTGGAGTCAGTGAAATTGTCGCAAGTTTCAATGGATTGCTTATTGTTATTGAACATCGTTATTACGGTGAAAGTTACCCACCGATTAAAAATCTTACCACTCCAAATATGAAATTCTTAACTGTTAACCAAGCACTTGCTGATTTTGCTGAGTTTATAAAAAATCCACCAACTGACATAATAAAGATTCCTAAAAATGCTAAGTGGATTTTTGTTGGAGGTTCATATGCTGGAAATTTGGCAACATGGATGCGCAAGAAATTTCCTAAACTCGTATTTGCTGCTTGGGCTTCTTCAGCTCCTTTACTCACAAAACTCGATTTTTTCGAATATGATCTAGCAATTGGTCATGCACTTCCATGTCGCGATAGAGTTGCAGATGCATTTAAATTATTTATTGATCCAATTTTATTATCTGGGAACCGTACACAGATTGCATCCCTTAAATCACAATTCGGTCTTGATGTTTTAGATGATGATCAAGATTTTGCTTCAGCTATTAGTTATCCAATTACTTTGATGGTTCAATCATATTTTCCACCTACTTCTCCTTCAGAAATTGATACTATTGCAACATTTTGTGGTGCATTCGCCAAAGCTCCTGATAATAAACCAGAAACTTCAACACTAATTTTGGCTCAAGTTATCAAATTCTATTTGAACACAACTGGACTTGTTACTCCTGATGCTATCAAAAAGATCTTTGCTACTTCAGCACTTACTACTTCGATTGTACCTAACAATTTAGTTTCATTCTTATATCAGGTTAATAAAATTTTAGTTCTTGTTAAAATGGATTTATTTATTTATTTAATATTTATTAATTGATTGATTTAATAGTACTGCACAGAGTTTGGTTGGTATCAAACAGCGCCAAAACCACCAAAACAAAGGTTTCGATCACAAATCGTCGATAGGGAATATTATCAAAAACAATGTAACTTTTTGTTTCCTGAAATTCCACCACCACATGTTAAAAAAATTAATCACCGATTTGGAGGAAATACTGGTATATTCTCCCGGACCATATTCATAAATGGTAGATTATGTGTTTTTTTTTCTCTAAGATCTTTATTATTAAATAAAATATATAATACTTAGCTTTTATTTTATTTTATAAAACAGGTGAATTTGATCCATGGAAACCTCTGACGATTAGTGAATCAACTCATAAAACTATCTCACGAAATACTGTTTTCTTAATCAAAAATGCATCTCATATTAATGATTTGAGATTTCCAACATCTGTCGACAATGATTCATTGAAATGTGCAAGAAAATTCATTATAGAAACTTTGGCTAAATGGTTATGCTTGAAATGTATCACTGATGTATCAGGATTTGTAAAATGCCAGTAAATTAGGCATTCCATACGTATTACGTATTTATTTATTTATTTGAATTCCTTAATTCGGAGTGAATTATGCAATAGACTTTGTTAAATTATGTGCGAGTAGTAGTGATATTAATTCAAATATTGCATGTATATTAGATATTACATAAGCTTTTATTAATATAATAATTATAGCAACCATATACAATGAAATAAAAATAGGAATACTATAATATAATAAATGAAAGTTAATTGTTTAATTTTTTATCTTTCAAACATGGTTATATCAATTTGATGCTAATAATGCTAATAAGACACATCAATGCAGAGAAAGTTTAAAAGAAACTATTAAAGAGATTTTAAAACTATTATAAAATTTTATTTGCACTCAAATCAAAAAATTGATATGTTCACACCCAAATTGGATCCTTACGCTTGTCCTTTAAGCCAATAAAATTTCAAGATCCAGTAAATGCAAGAAAATCACGAAACTGCTGTTTATGTCTTGTAATAATAAAATATTATTACATCTGAGCAACGAAAACCATGCTCCTACAGCAGATACAGTGCCCGATTCAAAGTGAATCCCTCTCGCCTGTGATCAATCACAAATTATTTATGTTGTGATTGATATAATACCTCACCAGTTTTAATATATGTGTAACATTAACGGTCTCTGCTGTACCGTACCATGTACGTAATGATATGCAAGAATTCTGAACAAACAGAAAATTTCCGACTATCAAAAAAATTATGCTCTTAATTTACCGGAATTTCTGGTATTTTACAGTACCGTATCGTCGCAAAATAACCCCGTGGCGCTATTCGAGACACATTACTTGAAGAGAGCTATTAATTAATTTAACCGGATGCGTATCATAATTTTTTGTTATTAAAAGTCTTCGTTTAAATTTATTATTGGCACTCTTCAAGCAATGTATCCCTAAATAACGCTACAGGGGCGTTATTTCGCGGTAATACTGTAAATTTTTGTGCTCAGTTAACGATGTATTAATCGATCCTTTGGGATCAGGTTCCAACTGAATCCTTGAAAGAATCAGCAAGAACTCAGTCCTTAAATCACATTAAGAATCATTATAACAATATACAATTAATATTTTAAATCTGCTTTAAATACTTTTTAACATATTTTAAAACGTTGTCACTAATATTGATATCATGATTAATAATAATGATATAATTATGATCATGATTATAAATTCGAATCTTTGTAATGGCATATTTCGATAAAGAAACAAGAAGCTATACATGCACAAGAAATAGGTAAAACTGTGATATAATTTTTCTGTTTTGTTTAATTGAATAGTGAAATGATAAAATATAATTGATGATGATAGGTCACACTTCTTTTACCGAATATGATGAATAAAAATATTTATATATAAGTATATAATATTGTTTTAATGTATACTAATTATTTTTCCAAAAAAATGATAATTTATTAAAAATCATTTGATGATTGATGTGTCATGACCATGAAGTCTTTAAAGCAGTTTACTCACATGAGGAATTTTTAATTTTGTACTAAACCTATTAAAGCTTTCTGTATCTCATACTTACAGCTAACCTGATACTGTTTTGGTTTAAATCAGCACTTGCAGTCAGAACTAATCATTAAATTGTTATATTTTTCTAAAGTTTATCCAAACTTCAATACCTATCTTTTCAATATTTTTTTTTATCATTCCTTGCTAATTATTACTCAGAACTAATAAAATTTTTCAGATTATCAATTTAGATAGCTTAATATAATATACTTATATATTATTTTTTTTGATAATTTTAACTATCTGATTGATTTATATGTTTCTTTTATATACCTGTTATTTAGTTTATTTGTTTATTTTTTAAAGTGTTTTATGAGTTTCTATCAGTCTAACAGTACTGTTAAAAGTTTATATTATCTTTTATTCAGGATTTTTAAGTGAATTTCTGACTCTTTAGTTTCTTTATTTTCTGTACTTAATAGTTTTATCATGAGTTTGCATCAAAGTCTTATATAATATTAATTATTAGCATTTCTCTATGTACATGTAATGTTATATTTTACATAAATATTCTAAGTTTTTATTTGAGATAGTATAATTAAAAATTATAAATATATTAATTCAACTAATTACAAGATAGTTGCTATAATATAGATATAATTTCTAAAATTTAGCATTTGTAAGATTTGAATACTAGGTCTGTTACTTAAAGATTGATAACTTGTTCATTTTATTAAGGATAAGAATAATGTAGATTATTTTTACTAGTAATTTTATAGCAAATCATATGATATTATATGATTTACATATAAAATTTTGGTTATATTATATGAATTTCTATATAAATTTTGTGTGACTTAGAAAACTTATAAGCTGATCTAGGCAAACTTAGTAATATATAAAATATTTTTTTTAAATAAAATAAATTATAAAATTTTATCAAAATAATTAGAAGA